ACTCTTTCCTGCTTATGCAGGGGGTCGGACTCGATGATCTATTGAGGTCCCTTCCGACCCTAACATCTATGAATCTGCTGAGGTCCCTTCCGACCCCAAGTCCTGTGAATCTCTCTAGGGGATAGGGAAGGGCAGTGGGTGGGTGCGTGAGGGACTGGGTAATTTATTGTGACAGGCATGTGGTTTCAAGGAAGGGTGTGGGGGGGTGTGTGTGTGTATACAGGAAGGGGGTCAGCCAGTTGTACGTGCCCCAGGGGAGACGGCCAGAGGTTGGCAGGTGGCAGGTGGCTGGGTGCAGCACGGTGAGTGGCTCAGCACAGACGTGCCCCCTACATACATGCGATGTACACATACACAACCACCTGCATATATACAGCTACATCCATATGTACACTCATATCCAGATATACACTCACATATGTACACATATATACACATCAGAGGACATGCACCCGTATGAGTATTTACACACATACAGTCTACATATCTGCTCATACAAACATGTTAACACCTGCCCCCACGTCCCCCCGCACGAGGCCGCAGCGCGGGGTCTCTCCGCCTCAGGCCGGGGCTCGTGCGGGCCCAACCTCCCCGAGGGAAGCGGCAGGCGCAGCCCAGCCCGGCGCCGTGGACGCCCCTTGCGCGAGTTTGCTGCTCCCCGGCCCCGCGGGGGAAGCGGCGCAGCGGAGCCCAGCCCCAACGCCAGCCTCCCCGTGAGCGGGGGTCTGCAGCTTTGGTACTTTCTTCCGGCCCACCCCCGCTGCGCGCGCATCCAGCACCACCTCGAGACCATATACAGCTCATGCGCACCCCCTACTAGGCGAAGCGAGAAAACTGCCGCTTCCTGCGCATGCGCTGGCAGCAGAGGAGCGGGAGGTGCCTCAGGGAGGGGACTCAGTGCGTATGCGTGAAGGGGAGCAGCCCGGGGTTGTAGCAGAGGCAGAGCAGTGAGTGCGCAGGCGCCGCGGGGCCGAGGTGGGTGGGGAGAGATCCCTCGGCGGGTCGGAGTGAGGGGCACCGGCAGGGCAGGGGGTGGGCGCGGCCCGGGGGGGTGCTGGGGGCGCGGGGGCTGCTGGGAGAGGCGGGGGCGGGGTGTCCCTGGCGCCGGCCCCGT